CATTTCTGTATTTACTTTGGTCCTCAAAGCATAGTTGTCTTACAATGCAGTTCTCAGTATAGTCTTCAAAGAGTTCTAAAGACAGTTTGTAATTAGGTGTAAGGTGGGAAAGACTAAGGTTAAATCATGAAAATACTATAACATGGCCACCGTTCAACACCAGGAAAACGATCCCGTATGAAATTAGTGGTGTACTTTGGATCATCTCCACGATGACTACGTTTCCCAGTGACAGATTAGCAGGTACTTGTCAATAAGATGCTGGTAGGAGCTTCTTGTCTTCATCCTCGATATCCCGATCGATCTGCTCTTCAATTTGTGGCAGAAATTAGACTTGCTTCATCGCATAGCAATCGCAAACCCTCAAGAACCGCGCCTTACAGAACCAACACAACAACATTTGTAAAGAAAATCTATATGGTATTTTTATAAGATTAATACATTGGCTGTTGCTACAACTAACTAGTTTATGTATGTTTCTATACCCATATGTCGTCCAATATGAGGAGGGTAAATTGTCTTAAAGGACCATTACCTGCATTTATTATACTGCTGAAATACATGTTTTGTACAGAAAAATCAATGGTTCTCATAAAAATCATTTACTGTGGCTGCATGACAATGTGCCAATCATGGTACGGGGCAACGGGATATCAATATAAAAAAACTTGATTGATCTGTTTAAGTACCAGTATGCAAATATGTCCATTTACATCATGTCTTGATAGTGACCACACTTTTCTTTTCAATTCAAAATGTTACTTGACATAACTTTGCTGTGGCAAAGATTTATGTGTACAGTGTGCAAATCGTGATCTGAACAGCGGCAAGAAACAGGAAGCAAAACCAGTTGCACCGGAGGGGTTTACAGTATAATGTACTTCACCACATGTGGTGCCCACGAGAATATTTCCCATCCAAAATATGTAGGTCATGAAAGGTCTGGGAGGCAATGAAGAAGAATTGAAAATTGGTTAGCAATAAATTCTCAAACAAGGAAATATTTTCATGATAATGATGATGGTGATAGCAAAAATTCCTCAAATGTATTTAACTCCCCATACAATACTGGTTTGGTGGTTTGAGCAATCCTTTCCAGTCAACCAAGATACCAAAACTGACTGTTTTTTTATAATGTTACTCAACTATAAAAGGATCCGGCATGTATAATTTCTCCGTCATTGATTGCCGTCTTTGTTCCACCAAATTCCACAAAAACTGATCATGCGAACGCGATGTAATTCGTGTGCATTCTTTTTAAATTCTTGTTATCAATCTGATGAAAAGAGGTTTCATTGTTATCGGTAGCAATATATGTTAAAAGCTTCACTTTATTGTTATAGATAAAAAGGGCCAATATACGACCAGAGGTGATTTAGATAAAGCATGATGTATGGTGTTGTACAATGAAGAGAGGTTAGTATTACTTTACAGAGCAATGCTGGTAAATCAAAGTACTCCATTTGTTCAATTTATTTAAAATCCACGTTTGATTCGACTACGTTCAGTAAGAGTACAACAACATGTTTGAAATCTGTCTGTTAGGCATGGTTTTAAAAGTATGGAAAATAGTTTATGAATGCTTTCGCTGCAAGTATGTGCAAGGTAAATCTGCATCAAAGCCCTTACTTAATGCAATAATAATGAAAGTATAGTTCTGTGATGGGTCGATATATCGTTGTAAGAAACGATCGATGTTGTGTAGCTACAGTTCACTGAAATTGTTCTTCTAGCCGAATAAGTGTTTGCGTAATAATATTTACATATTAATTTGCAGGGACTATTGTCAGCTTTTATGACTCTCTACTTGTACTTGATATGGATGTAATCGAATTGGGGTTTTTTTTGTATTTATATTCTTATTCAAATCTAGATATTCAAATGTGATCAAACGCCAAATAGAATCAACCCATTCGTTCAACAAATTCATAAACATGTTAGACTGATAACACGATATTTACATACAGTAATCGTTGCGACAAATCACCACTTCCATGTCGAGATCTTATAGTCATCCCGAGGGATTCAAATACACATGCGTTCACCTTATGATATATTATAGATAATGTTTCCATGATTAATTTACTCGCAGTTTGTGTAAATATTTGATCAACTTGATATAACGGGCTAATTGAAACATGCTGATTATCTTTGAATATAAACCTGTATCGTGAGAAGTAGCCTACAGAGGCTTGTTTGTGGTGTTAATTTAGCCTGACGGAAAGACGTGCTTTGTTTGTTTCCTATCGTATTTATTGCAGTGGGGCCAAAACTGTTTGCACATCTCTGCAGTGTTTAGTTAGTCTTGTTAAACATAATGTACAGTGGTGAGTGGAATTGAAGTGAGACAGAACTTTTTATGGCACGTTATTCTGTGTCGGTATCTATGGCGTGTATTGAGTCATGTTAAACATAATGTACAGTGGTGAGTGGAATTATGTGAGTCAGAACTGTTCATGGCGCGTTATTCTGTGTCGGTATCTGTGGCGTTTATTGAGTCATGTTTAACATAGTGTACAGTGGTGAGTGGAATTAGGTGAGACAGGACTGTTCATGGCGCGTTATTCTGTGTCGGTATCTGTGGCGTTTATTGTGTCATGTTATACATAATGTACAGTGGTGAGAGGAATTATGTGAGACAGGACTGTTCATGGCGAGTTATTCTGTGTCGGTATCTGGGGCGTTTATTGAGTCATGTTAAACATAATGTACAGTGGTGAGTGGAATTGAAGTGAGACAGAACTTTTCATGGCACGTTATTCTGTGTCGGTATCTATGGCGTTTATTGAGTCATGTTAAACAAAATGTACAGTGGTGAGTGGAATTATGTGAGACAGAACTGTTCATGGCGCGATATTCTGTGTCGGTATCTGTGGCGTTTATTGAGTCATGTTAAACATAATGTACAGTGGTGAGTGGTATTGTAGTGGGACATAGCTGATCGTGGCACGTTATTCGTTGTCGGTATCTGTGGTGTTAATTGAGCCAAGTTAAATACAGTGTACATGGGTTAGGGAATTGATATTGGATAAAACGGCAAACAACATTCTTGTTGTGTTACCTAATAATATCGGGGTCATTATGACAGTCATCTTGTCACTTTCTCGTATAACAATGGTATCATCGATTAAAATCCAGGTTGATGAAATTTATGGAAATGTTGTATGGTCGCCATCATGAGCCCGCATAGAAATATACTATGTGAAGGTCGATGTTTTCGATTGTGATTATTACTGTGTCTTGCGGTTTTGTTATTCTCATTTAGAGGACGTAACTTTACTTGGTTTCGACTTAGAATTACATGGCGGTGTCATCGATGAAACAGAAGACGCTTACCATTCAGGAACACATGGTCTTGTTATATTTGTACTTTTCGATTGTCTCCGTGTAAAACGTTCCTTTGGTCATATTTTGCCCTAGTTTCGACACATGAGATACATGTCTTGTTTCTGGTGATGTAACATTGATGGTACCCAAGAATATTAATTATTCAGTACATGTCTTTGACTTGTCTAGTGAACATCGATATACTGTTACAGGATATGCCACCCCAAAAGCACGCAACACACAAGGGATAGATCACGGCCAAAACTACAGATGCTAAGTCATGATGTATGTATCTGTCTGCAGAGTATAACTACAGGACACACGAGTTTGACTGACTGCTGGCACGTCGTATCGAAATGTACTCCAACTGCCTTAACGTCAGGAGAGCAGTAACTTCGATCTACGGTACACTGACTTAGCTTTCCTTATCTATGATTCGGATGGTTAAAGAAGACCTAACATGGCTCTGTGTCGTTGAAAGCAATATCAATTATTAATATTTATAATAATATTCATCATTTCCCTATAAGAATACCATACCTTTGTGAACCTATATGAACTTATATAACACTGTGCAATAATACACGCTAGCATTCGGGCCAACAAAATAAATATAGCATAATTGTTGTAAAATAGATAAAGTTTGTTTATATGAAAACATGGCTCGGAATTGTGCAGTTTCACAATCCCCAGGCACAAATGTTACTTCAGTTTTATCGATATCACATACGGCTCTTTCCAGTATAAAGCATCTATTATTGAGACAATGTCGCCGAATTCCTTTGATCACAGCCTAAGAAAACAAACTCTATCTTTAAAAGTAGGGCAGAAAAGATAACGTTAATATATGATAGGTGACGTCCTAAAACTGTAACAGCAATTCAATTTTGACGATCGTAAATTGCCTTATCTACGAGTGGTGTTGGTGACCTTCATATCTGTTCTTTGAGTATTTATCGTCGGCTTTTCATTGTGTCAATATCCAGATAACAGTTCTTATTAGCACCAACTCATCATAACCTGAGGTCATCACATGGTCTGAGTAATTGCATTGTTATGGAGATGCACAGAACAATTCATTACATCTGTCCTAGAATACAGTGTTTAAAGCAGTGTCCTCTTTACCAAACGGAAAACTAAATCTTCTTCAATACATAAATGTTGCAATTCAATTGAATGTTATGAAAATTGTGAATTTTAATTATTGAACACAATATTCCTTCATCTATATTCTGCGTATAAAGTTTGACAAATATTAAAATATTCCGAATAATTGTTGTTCAATGTTTGTAAAATTGTCGTTAAGCTTACCAACATGTGAGTAGCTCTGTTTAAGATTCCTACACGGTGTCCTATATTTAAAACACTGTCTCAGATTCCTACCAGGTATACTGTTGTTTTTGTTGGCTACATGCAGGTGTGCAGACATGATCAAGATACATACATTGTGGATCTTAGGTAATGATAAATGTTCATCAAGTAACACGAACAGCATGTTACATAACATGGACACGATACATGTAAAACAACATGTTTTGTATAACAAGAATTTGCATAAAGTGACAGTGGAACAGTGTTATATTATGGTGTAAGAGAGTAGGGCACACACACATTTGGTTTAGATATAAACAGCAGACCAGTGCGTACTGGAGTGTAGTATAGCTGATACTTACAGTCGAGGGCGTATTTGGCTATATCGCTGCCATCAATCGCAATAATGACGGTCTTTCCCTCCGTTTTACTGGTACTCTCAGAAGCCATGGTGGCACTCTCGCTTGTAGAATTTCACTGGATATTAAACAATGAGATAGCTTTCAATGTGTCTCACACTGTGTCTCACACTCTACTATTAAAATCCGTAAACATATCACGTGCCCGGCTTATCCCTGTTTGAACTTTTGACCTTACAAAGTAAATAGATTCATAGATGTGTCTATAACGTAACAGTGGTACATATCTCGGTAGATAACGCGTACTATGTAGATCGTGAAGAAGTAGACGCTGACTGGACACCCGTCACAACTATCTGGACTAGATATACATTTTACTGTAGAGATACTGCTGAAGTATGTATGGACACACACAGGTATTCACCACAGGAGTAACGCCGAGCCTCCCGCCTCCAATCAATACTCACACAGCAGCCGCTCATCCCGGACTGGCGGTCTGCACCCAATGCATAGGATTAGGAATTGTTGTCAAATCCTAAATTCTAATTACCCTCACGCAATCTAAAAATATCAGCTAACCATTGAATCAATTACTTCATAGAGCTAATCATAGAGTTGTTTTTGTAAATTATTAATAAAAAAAAATGCCATTTGATAATTAGGAAAAAATACCTCAGAAAAAGAAAAAAAATATTACTGATATATCTATTTATTATCGGAGGTATGCGGAAAGTGCAGTGGAAAACACACTTTTTTTTATATTGAAGGTTGCATTGAGCCAGACATGCGTCAGCGGACTTTGTTGAAGTATTTTTAATTTATTTCCTTTATCGAATTCACACCGAAGTGAGTACGTGCTCTGGCGTATGTCAAAACATGTGAAAATAGTTGTGCAAGAATAAATCCTCCTGGGTATATTTTAGTTTCCTGCATTTCATAATTGATTTTCCGTTAAACAGTGTGCGCAGAAATTAATCACACAATCAAATGACAAGTCAAATTACCCAAAGATGTGAATCACGATTGGCGATGTGATTGTCCTTTTTTTTTTTCCTTTTCAGCTACTCACCTGACATTTACTGTACACAGTCGTCATTGTTTTACTCAATATATGTCATGGTAATTAAAATAGACATCTCTTAGAATTGGAAAGGACAGCTTATAACCAGATTAAAAACTAACGACATTAAGACTTTTTGCAGCGTGGCTGATACAACAACATCAATTTTAATTTATTTCCTTGTGTCAAGACGATTACATTTGACTTAACGCGCTATTGTATCTAATGACATTGTGTGCAGTTACAGACATGGACAAGGGAGGTAATAACGACAAGGTCCATGAAGGGCAAAGTTTTTTTCCGCGGGTGAGGCGGAATAAAGTCATTTGTTTTAAAAGAAAAATAAATTTATAATTTTCCGCGCGCCCAATTTGGATTTTTTTTAGAATACCGACGAAACCAAACCTATTTGATTATGGCGTCTTTCTCCTCACCATTGGTGTGTTTATAAACACGTTTCACGCTGTTGATATGATGAACATTATAACTGTGTCTGCTATATTTCACAGTTGACTTGATGCGACGTTTGACAAAATTGCAATTTATCAAACTCTGAGTGTTAAATTTGACCCTTGACACAGTTATTATGATTACAACAAGTACAACTGTGTTTGTTACATTTGAACGAATGCTTCAAGTATATAAAGACAATGAACACATATATAAATGTAGCTGTGTCTAGTGCACTGGACTGAGAGAATAAATCGAATGTGTGTGTGTTTTATTTGACATTTGACCTAATGCGTCATTCATGTAATGACAGGTAATTATTATACTGTGTTACATTTGGCAATTTATTCGTGTGCCATTGATATGATGAGTGTTCAATTTGACTGTATGCATCGTTTGTAACAACATACAGATGTTATGTTTGACTTTAAATATCAGTATTCTAATGGCAATGTATACTTCGCTGAGTATTAAAATTCAATGTTTCATATTTATTTCGTCTCCATTTTTGTATGATGTATTATGTATTTGTCCTTCACCTTGTTGAAGTGTCCTACAACATTTTCGATGCTTTCCTTTTTTTATCGAATATGATTTTTAATTTAGTACTGGTTTGTTGGTACCATGGCAACAGTTTCCGTATCTGGCTTGTTTGAATATTGTCGTGCATATTTATTCAAGTAAGCTTTAAGATTATTATTTATAAAACATACGTGCACGTTTTTGCCGCCCTATACTCTATGGTCTGAAGCTATACTATTCTGTTCGCGATCAGACATCCCTCATTCTCGAACTGACACGCTGCGTTGTAATCGAAATACATTGTTTCATGGAAATATCTTTGGTCTTTTTATCGTGGTCATTACTTAAATTGCTCTGGACATGGTCTTTACACTGTGGTCATTACTGTTACAATATAGTTTGACCTTTTGTCGGATACTGATCGTATTGATGATAGGTCTGTATACACTAAGATAATTAGACAATGTCCGGTTAGTTTGCGAAGCGGTTTGTTTGTTAAGCACGTCAGTGTGTAGAAATTCTATCTACGTATACGTTTGTAACAGACGGACGGCATAGAATGCCGTAAAGCGCCCGAATGATCACTGGTATCAATACCAATACACTTGATGCATTGGATCTGGTAATAGCTATATCCTATCACACACCCATCCATCCTCCACCAAACGAGGGATATTCCTATGACCATGCTTGTATTGCCCCTACTGTACCGAGAACTAATAAACCTCTGTCTATGGTCAATATCAATACGTTATATATAGAACCATATGAAAGCACTGGATGTGTCCGCATATGAGTGTCGTAATGGTAATAACCAGCATTTTTTGTCGGTCAAGGTGATGTCTGATCACAATATATCACCCTAAATTGTTCTGATGCCTAATTTCCCTCAGTTTTATGTACATTGCCTAGAGGTTCAGTCAAGGTCACTGTTATTGGAAGTATGTTATTGTTATGTTTTATTATCAACACCGACATGAAACTCTAACAAGAGTCTATGCCCATTTTATTGCCGTACTGTTGTTATCGTTTCTGATAACAAGCAGTCATGGCTGTTGGCCACTTGATCACTTCTCTCAAGTGAGGATTTTCAATACAAGATGTAGTCTTAAATTTGTAACCAACCCCCGACCCCCAAGTTTCCCCAAAGTTACTTTTTCTTCTTCATTAAACCCATTTCGTTGATGCAGATAGATACATTGATGTTTTATTAATACAGTTGAATTTGATACGAATCAAAAGATAAAGTAATACGAATATTGACGTCTGTGTTTTAGATGTAAGGTTAGTTGATTAGATCTTCTAAAAGGCCGAGGAAACATACAGGGTTAAGATGAGCTTCATATACAAAAATCGAAGTAGAACAAAACCACACATACCATCAATAGTGTAAGATGAAGTGATTCCATATGAAAACGTATACTGCCTTCTTGAAATTCTGTCAAAAACGGCACAGAAAAACAATCAATATGAAAATAATATGTATATTATAGTTTCGGTGTGTAGATCCTATATAAAAACAAGATGAAAAATGTTGTATCTTTTTGCTGATCAACGATAACAATATCTTGACACTTTTGTATTTGTAACTGTGGCTGAAACTGTGTTTCGATTGTAAAAAGTAGAGAAGACTGCAATGTAACAACTAAGCAAAAGAAAGTTAATAATTGTGACATTAAACCCGCATACTTGCCATACAGTTTGTTAGAGAGGACTAGGGTAAACAAACTGTGTGAAAATATCATGAAACCATGTCATTACGATACCAACAATTCGGGGTGTTGTTTTTTCTACACCCAAAAGCAGATAAATTCAAATAGTCTTTTATCGTGGTCATTACTCAGATTGCTTTGAACATGGTCTTTACCCTGTGGTCGTTAAAACTTTATTTTGACCTTTTGTCCAGCATCGATCGTATTGATGATAGGGTGTTATCCTGTATACACTACGATCAAAGCGCGTCAGTGTGTAGAAATCTTATCTACGTGCACGCTTGTAACAAACGGACAGCAGACAATGCCATAAAGCGCCCGAATGATCATTGGTATGAATAATGATGCCCATGGTGCAGTGGATCTGGTGATAACTTTAACGTATCACACTCTCATCTATACCACCAAAGGAAGGATATTCCTATGATCATGCAAGTAGTAAATTGACCCTGCTGTTTCCCCCCTTATATGGTCAATATCAATAAACCATGTGGAAACACTTACACTCCGACTGTGTCCACGTATGGATATCATCTTGATGATGACGAGCAATTCCGATTGGTCATTGCGACTTCTCATCACAAGTTGTCATGCTGTATTGTTCTTACTTTCTAATTTATATCAGTTATAATGTATGTACAATGACAACAATACGATATAAAATACTGCTTTTATGATGTTTTATTCCAAAGCCACCCATGCCGACATGAAGTACTAATAGTCAGTGTCAATTTTATCCTTATAGTTTTGTTTACGTTCCCAATGTTATTTAAATGCTCCAAGGCTCGCGTGATTAGCTAGATTTTAATTCAGTATTCTCTGTTCGATTTGTTAACCTGGTATACGTATTCACACTCAAAACCACCGAAAATGGTATAACATAGGCCACGTATATGCCAAAACTAAAACAACCCATGTCATTCTCTAGAAAAAGCAGTTTTCAGATTTTGCAGTCTTCGTTAATCACATTCATGACAATTTTCTGCGCATTTCCTATCATTTCGCCAACGCATTTACAGAGCTTGTCCTTACCATCAGTATCAAACATAAGGCTATGAAACCGGGTAGTCCACACTACTCTTCCATTCCCTTAAACGTGTTTATGTTCAATCTTATGTCTTATCATTATGATTAAGTTTCCTTTTTTCAACACATTAGTAAATAAGCGATTAAATATTGTAATTATCATGTTTATTTCATGTAGAAATGTACTTATGTGTTTTATATGAACTGTGAGAAGCCTAAGGGGCCCCAACTCCGGATGTCTTATTAGCTGGGACAAATAAAAGATCAATTTTTAAAAGAGGAAAAAAAGAGCAGAAGATACCTCTATGTACGAAGGCCAACGAGCAACGTGGCTCTAAGAAATAAAAGACATCGTTTAGTGCCTATTATATATCATCGAAATACTCCGTGGCATCACGTGAGAAGATAAGACCAATAACTCTGTACACCATGTACATCGCAAGAAAAACATCGTATCTTCTGTACGGTTAACTTGAATATGGATCTTCTCAACAGGTCGCCCCTAACACACATCCTTTAGAGGCATGCAAGGGAATGTGATCAAACCGTTCAAACGGTATGTTACGGAGGCAGCTTGAGTGAAAATGCGGAGAAAGATCAAAATCAGTATCAGATAAAACAAAACAAAAACGAAGGGAATGCACTCCACATGGCGGACAGGTCTTTCTGTGATGATCGTA